CCTGAAATGTGTGAGGCATTGAACTTGATCCACAGCACCACAAAATAACTTAATGTAAAGGCCACATGATGTGACTTGTTCTTACCATTTCAAAACAACAGTAAGCTATGCTGCAATTACTGCATATGTAGATATATGGATACATGTCAGGAACCATCAACCAACCAACCTAAAAAACATTCTTTACTTGCACTATATAAATATACTTTATGTTATCATTGCACACAGTTTTAGGGATCAGAGCTGCAAAAATTGTATAGAATTGCTATATATGTGTGCATGTGTATTCTCATAACATTCTTTTTTTGCACAACTACATGAATATTAAATGTAAAGAATTGCATGAGTGCATAATGGGAAAAAAAGAGAAATAAAAGTGTCTTTTTTTCTCAGATAAAGCAATGATCTAAGGAAAAAAGGAAAAAAACTCTAAAAGAAGGAACAAAAAATGCCCCAAACCAATATGTTACTACAAAAAGGTTACAGGACACAAGGTTCAAATACAAACATAACTTTCCTATGCACCACAGATTACACATGGAGTATAAAATATAAACATGTAACAAGTTGCATTTGCTCTCCCCAAAACAGAAATATTTAGTTTTAAATCCAACAAAAAATACAAATATATTGAAGGAAAAACCACAAAGCTGAAGAAAGCAATTATAGAATTAAATATATGGAGATATACTACATGTTCATGGAGAGAAATATTCAAAATAATAAAAATGTTAATTTTCCTCAACTTTATCTACAAATTCAATGATAAACCAATCAAGAGTTATTTTGTAAATATTGATAAAACTCTGAGTTTCATCTAAGTGCTGTAGGTACAGACAAAAGGCCTAGAAGAGTCAGGAAAATATTGAAGGGGAATAAATCAAATTCTTTCAGTGGATTATATTAAAAGATTTTCTTCTTTAAAATCTACTTTCTGAAAGACGTTTTCAAGAGAATAAGAGGTCAAGTCAGATACTGAGGAACAACAAACAAAAAAATCCAACTGCTAAAGTCATATCTGATAAGGGAGTGTGGAATGGTCAATTCACATGTCAATTTGAATGAGTCATGGAGTTCCACTTTACCATTATTTCTGAATGTTTCTAAAGAGTGTTTCCAGGTAACATTAGTATTTCAAACAATGGGTCAGTGGAGCATATTTCCCTCCATAATTTAGCTGAGGATCATTCAAAATATTTACAGACTGAAAAGGTTAATAGGGAGGAAGAGAGAATTTGCCCTTCTGCCTGATTACTTTAGATGGAGCACTGATCTTCTGTTCTCTGACTACAATTTCCTCCATCAACTCTCCTGATTCTTAGCCCTTAAAAATAAGACTGAATTGTACCACAGACATCCCTCAGTCTCCAGTTTGCAGGTGGCTAGCTGTGGGCATCTTAGCCTCCATGATGATATCAGAAAATATCTCCTAATAGATCTATCTATGTATCTATGTATCTATCTAGTTCTGTTTCCCTGGAGAACCCTTATACATACTATGATATAAATAATCCAAAAGATAGAGTTCAACAAGGAGAAAATGACCAACTCTATTAAGAAGAAAAAATACTCAAAAGACCTGAACAGAATTTGCGCTGAAAAATATGAGAAAGCTGAGTAATTGCACACTTATAATCCTAGCACTCTGGGGAGTTGTGCAGAATGATTGTAGGTTGGAGTTCCACCTGGGAAAATTAGCAACCTAGCGTGACTCTATCTCAAAATAAAAAATTCAGAATTATGGCAGATCTAGAGCAATGTGACAGCTCTAGGTTCAATCTCCACTGCCACAGGGAAAAAGAAAAAGACAAATACGGAGATGGCAAACAAACATATAAAATAATGTTCAACATCAGAAACCTTGGGGGATTTGCAAATTACAACAAACATTAGACACCAGTGCATACTTCTTAATATGGACAAAATCAAGAGCATTGCCAACATCAAAGGAGAGCAACGAGATAGTCATTGTTTATGGGAATGTTAAACTGGAAAGACATATTAGAAGACTGTTTCACAGTGTCTTTCAAAACTACTCATACCATATCACTGGAAAAAAAGAGATATTTACTCATGAGTAGGAAACTTATCTCCATCCAAAAACCTATGAATAGATGTTTGCAGCCGTTTTCTTTATAAATACCAATACATAAAGGCAACCAATGTGTCCTTTAGTAAGTGAATGGAAACATAATCCATATTCCTTCCACATAACGGAACATTGTCACAAAAAATGAGCTACCAAGCTATAAAAATACATGGTGTAATCTTAAATGAATATTAAGTAAAGGCAGACAATATTAAAGGATAACAATAGTATATTTCAGTTATATAACATCCTGGATAAGAGCAAATTATGGAAAAACTATGAAGATTAGTGTCATTAAGAGCTGGGAAGGAAGAATGAATATGTAGAGGAGAGGATATTACTATAGCACTGAAGCTAGTATCTATGGTAATATAATGTGGATACATATTATTATACATGTATCAAAACTCAATAAATGGCCAACATCAAAATGGAGTCTTAATGCATACCCAGCACTTTAAGTGATAACATGGCGTCATTGTAGATTCATTAGCTGTGACAAATATACTGATCTGCAGGACAAGGATGTCAGAGGCAGTGTGCCAAGGGGAAAGAAGTGTATGGAAATTTCCTGTAGTTTCTTTCTCTTTTGTTATGAATGGGTCTAAAACTGCTTAAAAGTAAAAGTTTATTTAAAATTTTAAAAGTTATTGTGCTTTAGCTCTGCTCCAAGCTACCCAGATTTCATAGACCCAGCTTTCTAATGGATTAGAAAGAGATTGGCCTCTACTGGGATCCTGTGGCTCTGAGGATTTGACTATAGCACTTCTCTGTTTCTCCTGTGTTCCAGCCAGAGGTCATGGCAAAGCAAATGCACTTGGGTCATCTTCAAGTGAACTTGCGAAATTAAATGAATCTTGAGAGAATTGTTTCTGAGAAGTGTGTGTCACATCTAGATATGATCCTTTCCTTTCATGAGCAAATATGGCTCAGAAACTTGCTTCCATCTTGTTCAGGAAGTGGCTGTGGGATAAGATAATAAAATAATGGCACCGCAAAGAAATTATCAAAGTCCATATTATAAAACAAGCTTCCACTACAGATCCCATTAAATCCAAAATATATGTAAAGATATAGTTATCACCAATTTTGCAATGGTTGGTTTCATCTTTAGATATGTATGTTTTATAAAGTAATTTTAATGATTTTATTGTAAAAGACTACCCTTGACAATATTCTCCTAGTTTTTCCCAAGGGAAGCAAGTTCTACTTATAATATATTCTTCTTGGGGAAGGCATCTTTATTTTTTTTCCAATACTACAAAACATTCATCACTTTTATGAAATATTTTCATAAATCTTTTTCTGGTTCATTCCTGCATCGATTCAATTCCTACTTATGCAATTATTACATGCAATGAAACATTGTTCTTTTAAATGAGGGTGCTTGAGGCTTTTTCATATGCATGAATTAGATGAATCATTTATTATCATATTATTATAATTTATTTTGATAGGAATAATTTTCTACTTCGCTTCAGGAAGATTTTCCTGAACTCCTTCCGTTATATTCTAATAATTTTTGAAAACAATGAGACATTTTTCCTGGTACTTGAGGCTCTCCACTAAATTCACTACAGATTTAATCATTTCAATTTTCTTTTTAAAGAAGAGAAAACTTGTGTATCCTTCACTGAAAACAAGTTATTGATTAGTCTTTTCCATATTTAAAATTATTTCTATTTCTACCTTGACTATAAAGCTCCATTTCATTTTTTATATCAAGATATACTTTGTAATAATACTTGATAAATTTTAAGGTTAGCAAAACTTGGAGATGGGCTTTGGTGAACTTTATTATATCTGTAATTGACAACTTCTTGTGAGTCACAACGATAAATAATTAAATGTGACTTCGATTGAACTCATTGGTGTCTTCCTGAAAAGTAACATAATCCAAATTATGTTTAATAGAATTACAATGGAATATATCAAATGACCAACATTGGAAGGAATTAACATATTTTCATTGAAGATCATGCACACAGATACACATATTTATAATGTATTAACTTCATGACAAACATTAAGAATTTTATAACAAGTAATAGGCTCTGGGTATACTTAGCCCTGTGGAAAACCTGGTTTTGATATTTTGATATAAGAATCAATTGACAAAGATATCTGATTTATGAGAGAAGTTGTTTATGTATTCACAATCATAAATGGGTATATAATATTTTCATCTCATCATTTAATCCAAGGAAAAGTGGATTAAATGAGGAAAAGTGCAAATAAAGTGCATTAAACTTTTCCATGAGGAAAAGTGCATTAAATGTCCCCATTTGAATTATAAGACATACAATGTGACCTTTACATGTGATTTCTTGAATCAATCTTATCATTTTATTGGCTTATATAGATAGATTCAGTTTTTGTTAATTTTTCTGACAAAAAATGCATTCTTTTTTGTCTTGCTGTGTTAAAACTTCCTGCTGAAAGTTTCTGTTCAAGTGTGTGCATCCATCTAATGTTTTCCATCATCAAACTTTGCCAACCTTGTGAGTGAGCTAAGCAAATACCTCTGTGAAGAGGAAAATTAACCTCTGCTCAAATCAATATGGCCAATTTAACTGACACTTCTATGAAGAGTGAGTGGTGAAGGGCTCAGTGCACTAGCAAGAAGAATAAGCTTGGGCAGAGGGCTGGCCTCAAAGGACCATCTAACACGGAAATGTACACAGACAGGCATATAGATATGCCACCAAAGAATGGCTTGGGACATAGAGTTCAATGGAAATGTCTCCAAGATTAAGGTTTCATGCATTGTTAAGGTACAATTTTTCTCAAAAGTGTGGCTTTCTCTCAAATGTATGCTTTTCAAAATACATTTCTTAAAACAGAAAAAAATAACTTAGTTGTTCTATGTTCAATGTAAAATTCATACTGATGTTTTAAATATATATTACAGGAGTTATTAGAACAGCTTTACATCATATGGACAGAGAAGCCCGAGAACACTACTCAGTGGTCATCCAAGCCAAAGACATGGCTGGTCAAGTTGGCGGGCTTTCAGGATCCACCACAGTCAACATCACCTTGACGGATGTCAATGACAACCCACCAAGATTTCCTCAGAGTATGTACCTGTTTCCTGTGCCTTGAATTCATCACTGTGCATTTATGTAGAATGGAGGAAATAATCGAGTGCACAATGTGATGTCTTCTTAACTGGGCATATTTTGCTTTTGTTTCCCATGGTTCACCTTCATTTTTCTTTGTCAAGAATAAAGAAATCTCTGAATCCATTGACTCATGAACCTGAAAGATAACTGTCATCATGCTAAAAGTATTCATTTCTGTGTGTATCACAGTTAAATATAAAAGAGGATATAATGGCATCAAGTAGCAAAATGACATTTTTGTGAAAATAAAGTGTTCTTGATACATTAGTAGAGATGTTACTCATGCAGCAGAATACAGTACGCACATTCTCTGAAAAAAATTTAAAGAATCTTTCATGCAATAATTGAATGGTATAAATGCATGTGCTCATGAACAGACACATATACACAAATGTGAACAGGTATATATCATTTACAAGTGGCTCATAGCTAATTTAAGGAGAGAGATCTCAGAATGGAAAACAAATCTCATAATCCAGAAAACACCTTAAGGAAGCATGGAAGCTATTAATTACTTGGATTTCAAGGTAGATAATATGCATAATATCTGCAGACTGTGAAGGATATAATTATGATACATTGGAGTGTTATTAACATTGCAGAGATTGTCGAAGACATTTTATAGAATAATCTTCAATTATCTTAAAAATCTTACAGGGGAGTTGTCAAGGTTGTCCATCTTACTAGTTATTTTTAAAAGCTTAGTGACATGGGAAGTGTAATATGTTGATAAAGGCTTTCACAAATCTATACAAAATGCTTTTCCCATAATTATCTCATAATGCCATTTTCAGTACATCTAAGACCTAGCCACAGTGGAATACTGTCTCTTCCAAAAATATAATAATGCTTTGCATATCTTTATTTCAATTGGAATTTTTCTGCACTCACACTAATTATTTAATATCTCTTCTATAAATTTCTTTGAAAAATCTGTTAAAGAATTAGCAGAGACAGTTTTTGGTTTCTGCTTTATATAACACTTTTGTATTCACGTTCTTCTTATACTTATTTTCATAATTTCATGCTTCCTTTACCACCATGAAAGCCTCTAATTAAGAATGACACTTGTGCTGTTGTTATACTGTAAGTGTTCATCCCTCTGAACAGAACTGTTGATAAACAGTTGTTAAGTGAATGAATTAGTTGAATTCACTCTATCAAATTATCATTGTTTAAAAAACTCATTATTAAACACATGCAATCTAAGTTCACAGTTAAGTTAAATCCATTTTAAAATACTTTAAAATATTGCTATATTGTAATTTATATCTAGATATCTCCCCAAAGCGCATGACTTTATAGGAGGGGCTTTTAAAAGGTAATTTCATTATGGGGACATTATAATGTATTTGGTGTTAGGAAGTGCCTTCAGGTTGGAAGTGGGGGTCATTGGGGCATGACCAGGAAGGGTGTATTTACTTTTCTGGCTTCTCCCTTGACCCTCCCCTTCCTAATTGCCATGAGGTAAATGTCCTTCTTACACCATGCCCCTTTGCTATACTGTCTTGCCTTGGAGCCAGCAGACTATGAATTGAAACATTTGCAGGTATCAGATATTTTGTCCTATGGTGAGGACAGTGATGAAGAAAAATTTTGTTGCCAGGAGTGAGACCACTGTCATGTGGTTTAGAGGGCCTTGGTACTGGCTTGCAGGAAGAGTTTGAAAAGGTTTCAAGATGCCAGCTAGAGGAACCATAGAATGCTATAAACCAAGCTTGGTGGGAGATTCTGGTAAAAAGTCAGAAGACTAGAATGTTGATAAAAAGACAGATACCAAAGATACGGCTCAAGAGGTTTGAGTTGGGAACAAGGACTCTCTGTTGGATACTAGGCCATGTGTGTTATGCTGTATCAGAAAATATGTCTATTATTTGCTCACATACTCTGACTGTGCATGAGACTGAAATTAAAGATAGTGGAATAATTGATCTTGTAGAGAAAATTTCAAGAGAGCCCATCCTTCAGAGTGCAGTATGGTTATTGTTTGCTGTTTTTAACAATATTTACTGAGAGAAACAGGAGTGAAAAGGACATTTAAAAAGTTTTGTTTTGCCAGAAATAAAGTGCCTGCAAAGGTGGAATAGAGGAGAGTTGGCTGAGTGAATAGATTAGCATTGAAAAGAAGCCAAGTACTTTGGATCAGGACAATGGGAAACATGGTTTGAGTGCATGTCAGGAATCAGCAAGACCCTTCTTTTTTTTAATTCATTAAGTTTATTGGTACATTTTAGGTATACAATATGATGACATTCATCATTGGGAATTTGTAACTTTGCATGATATATCTTGGTTCTTATTTTTTCCCCATTCCCCTGCCCTCCCTTCACCCCCTCCACTCTTCCCTATTTACAAAGACTTTGTTTCCATTTTTTTATTTTCTCATATATTTTCCTTTCCCTTCTTTGCTTTCCCCTAACCCTCCCACTTCCCTTTCCCATTTGGACCTTTTCTTCCTATTTTCCACTATCTATTATACATTGTGATCCTCATTTGACACAACTATTCCCCTGCTGGGTATCTTCCCAAAAGAATTAAAAGCATCGTACCACAGAGATATATGTACACACATGTTTATAGCAGCCAGTTTGTAATAGCTAAATCTTGAAAACAGCCCAAATCTCCATCAATTGATGAATGGATAAAGAAGATGTGTGTTTTTTTAATAAGATGGAGTACTACTCATCCATAAAGAATGATAAACTAGAGATATTTATAGATAAATGGATGCACATTGAGGCCATACTCTCAAGAGAAATAAATAGGACACACATGTAAATACTGAATAGTTTCTCTGGTGTGAAAAACTGAAAGTGTAAATGAGGCTTAAGAACTTTCTCTTTGTACCTTCTCTTTGAACAGGGTGCAAGGCTGTAACGCTTTCATTTTAGAAGGCAGACCTGGGGGACCATATTTGAGCAGGGTTACTTAGGATAATGGTCCCATGAATTTGGTCTATAGTGTTCACCAATCCAGGCAATCAGAGGCCTCTGTAGACAGGATTCAAAGGGGCCTGGCTACTACCCATGTGGTAGCAGATCTTGACATCATTCATATGGTACTGATTTTACCAGTATGTAAAATGCTGGAGTTATTGGGTAAGGAAGGCTTCCAGGCACATTTCAGAAGAGGGCATGGGAAGCCAGGTCATATGTTTCTGAGAGGACTGTACATGAAGCTATAAGAGTGAAACCAACAGTGTCACGGAGACCTCAGGAAGTTGAAGAAGCCAGGAATGTGGAACATCTGAAGAAAGTTACAAGAAGTGAGCAGATCTAGTCCAACAGAGAAATCATGAGTAGTACAACCCCTTGCAATGACTTAGGAATGGGGTCTCCCAATGCATTTGGAGTTTATATCGCACTACAACTTACCCTTTGTGCACTACATGGAGGTACAGGATTTAAAATTTTCCCTGATTGCTTTCTGTCTTGCTTTTGTTTGATTGCTTTCTTTCTCTCTGTTCCTCCCTTTGGGAATGGAAATATTTATCCTGTGTTTTTAAATGATGGTAGTGTTTTACTTCATTTTTTATTTTTATAGAGGCTCATGGCTAGTTTGCCTTGTATCTCAGAGGAGATTGGACTTGGACTTTTCAGCAATGCTAGATCTCTCAGGGATTTGGCAGGTCTTAGAGTTGGACTGTATTCATTTTGCATAAAGAGATTCTCATGATCCTTTTGGGGGTCTGGGGCAGAATGCTATTGTTTATATCTAGATGTTCACACACAAACGCTCATGTGATCACAGTTGGGTCTTTTGGAAGGTGATTGGATTCTGGGGATTTGGGTTCTGGGCAGAAGTGGCAGGTCACTGTGGGAGTGACCTTGAAGAGCATATCTCCCTTCCCATCTCCTCCCTGGACTCTGTTTCCCGGCTGCCCTGAAGTCAGTAGCTCTTTTTCCATCAAGCCCCTCTTCCATGCTGCTCTGCCTTGAAACAGCCCATTTTGGACTGAACCATGAGCCAAAATAAGCTTCTCCTCCTTTAAGTTGGGGGTGTGTGGTATTTTGTTCCAGTGATGAAGAAAGTTAAGACATGATGCTAGAAACAAGGTTATGGAAACTTCTTCCTTCATATTGCCTTTGCTCTACAAAGTACATTTGGCAAAAACCATAAATGAGTTAAAATAACCTTAAAATATAAAAAATTTTTACATTTTACAAATGCCAGTATACTTTTGTATGTCTTATCACAGCATAATATGCACATATACATATAACTATAAATAGTGCCATGATTTCATAGAAGGAGGCAATCAAAAATGAAAGATTTAAGATAAGAAATCAGAATTGAATCCTCCAATTTAACTTTAACTTTGTATTCCTTACCAATAAATTATTTTTCTATTGCTCAGTAGTGGGAATGTGATTGAAAATATCATACATAATATTTCAAGATAGAAAAGAGGATTTTAAATATTTTTACCAGAGAGAAATGAAAAGTATTCAAGTTCACGGACATGCTAAATGCCCTCATTTTATTTGTATACAATGTGTACATATAACAAAACATAACACTGTATACATATATTCAATTGCTGCGCAGATTAACAAAAAATGTTTTAAGATGTAATTAATGATAATGTCAGACTAACTGAATATAGCTTTTATTAAAATTAATAACACTACCTTGTATACTTTATTCTTAAGTTGATTTTACCACTATTTTTAAGATGCATAATATTTTAACTCTTTACTGACTGAAAAGTCAAATTACAAAATATGAGCTCCACACGTTTGTTGAAAAATTTCATCTTTCTCTATTTTTCATTCTTTTTAAAATAATTGTCAATTTATAAATCCATTAAGATATTTTAGTTAACAGAAGTTTACAATTTTCAGAAATATTGATAATATAACTGACATAGATGAATGTGAATGTAGACTCTACAGAGATTTATACCTAGTTTTATTATTTTGTCTAATTGCAATGTTATTGCAGAAGAATATGT